ATATGCACTGTCCCTGCAGAAATATTAGTCTACTAAATAGCTATATAGCTGAAAATGCGTCGAAGTACTAGAATGTATGGGGATATGTGTACGCTAAGTGGTGCCCACTACTTCCCTCGTTTAGTTTATGAAAGTCTCCTTCCCTGGCTCTACAGGGATTGAAATTGTCACAGGAAACTCCTTGACAAACATAGGGTACACCGATAACCTCACTCTGTTAAGTGATGATGACAAGATCGTCTTCTGAACACCTTGAGAATGTATTTCCCACCACCTAGATCCTAACTGTTGATAGGTCAGTGTTGGCTCACTGTGCAACAGTATGGAGTGAATTGGTTGAGGGTGTTAGCCGATTCACTTAATCGGCAATTCGGATCAGCTCTAGTGGATCAGTCATCGACGAAATCCCCGAAAGCATACTAGGCCCGATTAGCTTTTGACAAACTACGCCACCTACGGTGCTGGTAAGATATCCGGATGCCTGTTAGGTACTGAAAGCACTGCACTGAAGCTCACTCTGTCCCACTTCATGGCCATTAAAAACGGAAGATATGAGATCACCGTTGCATTCGTGGACTAGGCCGTGCATCGTTGAACTACCACATCAATAAAGTACAAAGCAGACATAGTTCTAGTTAGAAGTAAACCAGTTTGAGGTTGCGCTACGCATCCATAGTCACTATCTACCCATCAAGCAATGTTTAAAAGGAAAAGGGTTATAAACGGCCAGACTAAAACATGGTAACGGTTCATGAAGTCTCTAAATATCGGTGAGACGTGTAGAGAAATGTAGACTTTCAGGTTGAAGTCAATGTGACAACCAAAAACCAATTTCTGAAGACTCAACGTGATAAGACTTAGAATAAGCTTCAGTGGCACAGATGCATCCATATACTATTCATATCTCAATCATACCAAATTTCCGTACTGTTTACATCCCCTCTCTTATGACTTTCTTCTTTATTTCGCTATCTTTTATCTTGGTGCATTCTACTCTGATGTTTCAATAAGAGATATAGCAGGTTGGAGTGTTGTGCAACGATTCTAAGTTCCACGTTATCGGGTTGCTCAATCAAATCAATATCAACATAGAACCAGGCATTACTGCGTAACGGTCCGAGTTGCCACACCTCATATCAGCACATCAAGTAAAAAGGTAGTGAGGTGAAGGATGAAGATAAGTGAATGCAGTCAAAAGAAATATAAAGTACGAGAAGAAAGGAAAGAGGAGTGACAAAATAGTGAGATTCGGTATAGCGTTGTTAAGATGAGGATAATGTGTGTATACATCTGCGCCACTGACTTCGGTTCTGAGCCATATCACCTAGGGTCTCCAACCACTGGTTCCTCTTGTCCCGTGGACCCCAACCACCTAGTCTGCATCGTCCTACATGGCTTAAACCAACAGTCAGAGACTTCATACATTGGTGCCATGTTTTAGTCTGGCCACCTCGGGCCTTTTTCCAGCCTGAACCCACCTCAGCCAACATTGTGTGACGAGGCAATCGGTGACTAGGCATACGTAGTACGTGTCCCAACCATCTCAGTCGATGAAGGTTCACAACCTCGTCGACTGACTTACCTCTTCTCCCTAAAACTCTACACCTAACTTCTGCATTACTCACATGGTGACACCACGGAATACGTCCTATACTACGAAGGCAACGGTGGTCAAACACCTGAAACCTTCTCATGTCTTCCACTTTCAATGGCCATGTTTCACAGCCATACAGTAGAACAGAGCGGACTGCTGTGCAGTACACGCGACCCTTAATAGACAAACGAATATCACGGCGGCGCCATAGGTGGCGCAAATTGGCAAAAGCCAATCGAGCCTTTTGTATCCGTGCAGAAATCTCATCGGCAACTAACCCACCAGGGTTGATCCTACTTCCCAGGTAAGTGAAGTGGTCAACACACTCAACCACTTCACTCTCTATTGTTAACCGCGGTACCGCTGAAGACCAGTCCTGGAGCAAAAATTTGCATTTGGGTGGTGAAAATCGCATCCCAAACATTCTCAAATTCCCACTCAAAGTGTTCAGAAGACTCTGCATCTTGTCAGCGTCTTCACCTAACAGGACTATGTCATCTGCATATTCTAGATCTAAGGAAAATTCACCTGTGATCCGGTCAACGTCTTTGTAATTAGGTGACGAGAGGGAAACCTCCATAAGAATATCTATGATAAAATTAAATAAGAATGGGGATAGTGGGCATCCTTGACGGACACCACTTGATGAGTATAGCTCCCTGGACAACTCACCATAGGCTCTAACATGCCCACAAGTGTTCGAGTAGAGAGCTTTCAATAAGGTGATGTACTTACTAGGCACGCCTTTCAGTGACAGACACTGCCATAAGACTTCTCGATCAACGGAGTCAAATGCCGCCTTCAGGTCGAGAAATACAGCTATTGTCGGGCGTCTGTAAGCATGCCTATGTTCCAGGACCTGGCGCAGTGTGAATATTTGGTCGATACATCCACGGCCAGGTCTAAAGCCTGCCTGGTTTTCTCGGGCTTGCTGTTCCCGAGCTCCACTCAGGCGTCGGAGAATTATAGAACTTAGGATCTTAGACACTATGTTTGTCAGGCTGATTCCTCTGTGGTTATCACAAGAGGACTTCTCGCCTTTCTTGAAGACTGGGATGATCAGTGACTTAGACCAGTCGGAGGGGATCGTATTTGATTCCCATATACTGGCTAACACTTCCGTTAGCCTGACTAAGAGAACTCTACCACCATTCTTGTATACCTCAGCAGGTAGTCCGTCTGGTCCTGCTGCCCTTCCCCGTTTCAGGCTACCTACCGCTTTCTCAACTTCTTCTAGTGTTGGGGGACCTGTCTCTATGTCCCATTCAGGGTCCGACTGGATAGCGGGCAGCGCAATGGTGGCTGGAGGCCAGTTAAACTGTTCCTCAAAGTGTTCTGCCCATCGTCCCAGTCGCCTTCCCTGCGAGTGAATCGCCGATCCGTCCTTCTCCGCTATAACCTCACTAACTGTTGTTGACCATTTCCCCCCTCCTTCAAAAGTCTAAATAACTGTCTACTGTTACCGATCGCCGCTGCCTTTTCCATCTCTTTAGCCTTTGCTGCCCACCACTGTTCACGATCGTTGCGCAGACTTTTCGTCAGTTTATTTTTAAGTTGCGCTCGCTCTTCATTGTACTCAGAGCCTGCAGGGATGCATTCACGTGCATCCATTAGTTTGGAAGAAGCTGCTGATATCCACTGGCTCTTTTTAGCCATTATCTTGGAGTCGGCTACAGTCTCCAGTGCTGCTTTTACAGTAGACTGAAGATGGCACCAAGCTTCTTCTGGATGAGTGACAGTCTTTTGTTCCGATAACTGCCTAGCCAACTTCTCACTGAACACGGCTTTGGTGTTTTCGTTGTCCAGCAGAACTCGTAGTGGTTTTGTTGCCAAATTTTTTCTACGTCCATTGAGACGCAGGCATATACGTGCTCGGACCAACGCATGATCGCTGTCCAAACACGTACTCCAGAAGGAGCGGCAGTCTTCCACCGATCCTCTCCAGCGATGACTAATAGCAATGTGGTCTATCTGTGTCCATCGCTGAGTCGAGCTCGGTGGACGCCAGGTCAGACAGTGCCTTTCTTTATGTCTGAAATTTGTGCTGGCTAAAAATAGGCGGTTATCTGAGCATAGTTGTAATAGGCGATCACCGTTATCTGTACGTTCAGCTGGGATTCCGAAAGTGCCACCTAAGTGCCTTTCTGCCTCACTCAGTCTACCCACCTGTGCGTTGAGGTCACCTGCAACAACCACTACGTCCGAACGTTTGGCTTTCGAGAGGAGGTTAGACAGTTTATGGTAGAACTCGTCCTTCACTTCATCCGAACTACAGTCAGTGGGTGCGTAAGCAGAGATTACAAAGAGACAACGGCGAGTCTCACTATTCCTTTTAGTTCTCACTGTGCCGTTCAGCCTCATAGCGCAGAGGCGACTATCAACTGGGATCCAGTCTAGTAGTGAGTTTTCTGCCCTGGTGCTTAATGCTATACCTACACCTGCAAGACCACGAGAGCTAGCTATCGAATCTCCAGAAACTCGAAGGGTGAATTTTGCAGATTCACCAGATTGGTCAGGAGAGGTCAGGTGAATAACCACACTTGGGTCCTGTATGCGTGTCTCACAAACACAGCACACATCCATGCCCGAGTTGCTAGAGTCTTTGCCAACGAAGCCTGTTGGCCAATTTGACGGAGGGTGCGGACATTGAAGGCTCCAATATGTAATTTGGAGCGTGGTTTAAGGAGACCAGGGATGCTGTTCTGTGGACTCAGATCGTTGTCGAAGGCTGCAGAGGTAGGAGAAATTGAAGATGATGCAGCATCATTAATTAAGAGACGTGAAGGAAGATTAGAAGGTAATGATGGAGGAGGAGGATAGCAGTCAGAAGAAACTTGGGTGCTGACAGAGTTGTGAGGGCGGTTGACACTTCCCGGCTGCCCACACCGTGGAAGGCTATTTCTTCTTAAGGTACCTGAAAGAGATTTGTGTGACCGCAGAGCCCATCGGACATCTGCTTGAGGCCTGTCACACCCAGCCTTTTGAGTATGATTATTTTGAATTTTTGTATTTTTGGGGCCGGATGGTGAAAGGAAACGACAAGTGAACCAACACCGCCGGCCCGGCAGACCGTGGGGCGTGGTGGAGTGTGTTATTTTTGGGGCCGACCTTTTCTAACCCCCCCTTCCACTGAGAAGGCAGCATCAGCATGGCACTGCTGGTCATCCAAGGGAAACACCTTACTGCTGTCACACCCCATCCAGCTAGCAGCAGTACGACTTCGCCCTCAGACCCCCATCATAGTGTAGCAATTTACACTACAACGGTAACTGCTTTTCGTCTAACCACTACCCAACAGACCTTTCTGGTATGGTAGGACCTCGAGGGAACAAGCGTTCCACCAGCATAGCTCGTTGGGTCATTGTGATATGCCAGCCCGGCCACTACGTCAAGGTAGCAGCTATCGGTAGGGTTGCTCGCTAGTACCTTATCAAGGTTATATCCTTGATCCTACTGTACGGACGAAACGAATAGCAGGATAACTCAGAACTTCTGATATCATCGCAAGTACTGCCATCTCTTACAATTACTGTATCACAATGAAAACAAACCACTCTTGTAAATAGGTGTGCTGTGACTGAAATAAGTCACGAAAAAAAGATGCAAATACGGTGGTCGACTGCCCCATTCTTGTAACTGATGAAAGGGACTCAAAGGCATGAAAAAGTGTGGTTGTGAGGAGAACACAGAAGTCAAATCAGTGAGAACACGAAAGCTATAAACTACTTAAATCCATGATACCCATATACGAGCACACTGTGACAGTTTAGGTTGCTTTTAACAACCATGATCTAAACAGTAAAAGTAAACTGAAGAGGACAATACACGACCATATGAATTAGCACATACTGTAGATACTAACCTGAAGCTTGTGTTGAAAACGATAACACAATACTTTCGTAACCCGACATGGAACTTATTTTACCAACTAGTATAACTGTCAATTAAAAGCTATGAGTAAGCAACCATAATCTTTCTACAAAAAAGTTATGAGTACAACAAAACACTTGAAGAACAAGTCTGTTAGAAAACCAAATGTCATGTACATGTACAATGAAAGATAAGAGAAAACATAGTCCTAAAACGACTTGTTTTTGGTAATAATGGCTCCAAAAGCTACTAGCAGAATTGTCAAAAGCGCCACCGTTTCACAGTATACAACGGGCTTGTACGAAATACCCTAGTAAGTAAAATCATAAGCAAATAGTTAACTTACTTTATGTCGGACGGTAACTGTAAATACGGGAGGTACATCTGAGGCTGAACCACCCTTCATTGCTCGGAGCAAGGCAGTAACGCCTTTGTCATTGTAAAATCGAACAATATATTCCCCTTTCGGAACACTTTTGTGATTCAAAATAAATGATACCTATTGGCAATGACTCCGTTATCATCAAAAAATGTATATACTTGGAAGTTGTTTGTTTCTATGTGTCGACTGACCGGTTGGAGGACTCCATTTAGCTCGGCGAAGAGATCAGAGGACTTAGAATAGCTAATGAATAACAGGCACTTACTCCCTTTCCTTTACACTTCGCTTCACCTTCAACTAATATAACAGTCTCAGAAGATAGCACTGCTTCACTCGTCGAATAGGTAATAGGCTTAACATCAAATTCATCACATGAGATGACTAAACTCTGTAATTACTACAGAAAAAAGTTTTTACATACCAAGATTTACAAATACACTTAACAAACTAAGAAAAAACCAATTCATCGCCAAGTTCACGTGTAAATGACCTTCAGCGCAACAATCTGAGTACTAAAAGTGTCTTGTACTAATGTATTGTGCTACTTGTCCAGAATGCACGGAAACCTCAAGTTGAAAAAAGAATCGGTCTCCGTTCCAAACTTCATCTCATCTTTTGGATAATACGAGCAGATTTCAACATTTAATATTGCTGAACACTTCGAATAGTGATGTCGTTCAAATGGTTCAAAAGGTTGTTAAGGGAATAGAAGAAGCTTTCGCTTAACTGGTTTCAGCTTCCAAAATCCGTGGATCACTATTTCTTGTGATTTTTAACCTGTGTACAAGTAAAGAAAGAAAAAAAAGTAATGGTTAAAATATGAAGATTCAACTAGTTTTTGGCAGATCCCAGGCACATGTCAAGTAAGCGTCCAGTTGGCGCTTAAAGGATTCAGAGGAAGTGGCCTGGGTCACTTCTGCAGGAAGCGTAACTCAGGGTCTAACAACTATGAATGAGTAGAAGCTGTCCCTGATACCCAATTTGCTATATTTCAGGCTCGGTTTCTGTATGTCCTCCAAGATAGGTGGTGCAGCTTTTATTCAATCAGTGACGGAGTGGGTGTCCGAGGGTTCTCAGAATGTTGTGGGTCATTGTCAAGCCTTCGCTTAGTCTTCTATATTCCAGCAGATACAGAACTATCGCAACCGGTCGTTCTTTATGTGTTTTAAGCCCAAGTCCTCCAACAGAATTGGCCAAGCGCCTCTGGAAACGTCCTAAACCTAAGTAGTCCTTATTCAGAGACAGAGAGAAGACGATAGTGCTGAACACTAGGTAGGGCCGTATGAAGCTGCTAAACGTTCGGTGCAGAAATCAGTGATCAAATTGTCCGAAAATTCGTCTCAGAGTTACCGGGGCCAAGCTTCCACGAAATGCGCTTCTGTCACAATCGGCATGCGATTTCAAGTGCTGAGAGACTAAAACGATCAAATACATTTACATCAGTGATGCTTCGAGTCTCGTGCCATTCAGGCTTCATACACGGCATGTAAATGTACAACCTCCGGCTTTTCAGGACCAAATGCCAGCCCGTTATTGACTTCTCAGTTTTGAAGCTAGCTCGTTTTCCTCTAAAAAAACAGCCTTCCTCGCTTTTGACTTCCTTTCATCGTTCCATTTAATTTGAAAGAGAAGAATTTCGAAAGAAACCTGTTGTGGCAAGTCGTTCATGCATCCGTGCCATTCGGCATCCTGCCGTGTTACGTCGTACTGCTGGAATCTATTCTGCAGTCAGCTAGTCGGAATGCGCGGGTATTTTGACACGATCTCTCAAATATGCTATTCGATCTGACTACTATACTGTATTCCTCCCGGGTCCTGTATTCGTGGGTATATTACGAGTAAAAACAATTGGTGAATGGCCTCCACGTCTGTAGATTTGTCGCAGGGACAACTCCCGCATTAGCGAAGCCAAGACAAATAACATCAATTCGACCTTGAAGGTCGACAATGCCAGCCTACCTGCTTACCACAGTGTTAGCGGTGCAGGGGTACTCTTTTAAAATCCTTGTTATTCGGGTGCGAGGAAGTTAGCCACCATAAGGTTATCCCTCAGTCCATCATAAATTTATAATTATGTTACTTAGAAAGTAAGGGTAAACGAGTCACCGGTCTCTACTTCTTCGGGCTGCTTCGTTGACGCTGTCTTAAGACCGGGTTATATTGCTCAACTTTCATGAATTAGACACCTTCCCTTGACTCAGAGAACCCTCAAGTAACTTGTTCAAGGTCTCAGTTAAGACTAATCCTCCTTCCCGCAGTGCTTCCGTATGGATTTCAACTGGTTCCGGAGAGGTGTCCTTTGTGGGCAGTAACAGTCTATAGTTCCATTTTGGCCAGTTTATTAATGTTTCACGGTGTAATAGTATCATTTACCGGTTGGTATACAATAGCTGGCGTACTTGCCTTCACTCTGCGAATGATACTGTCCGAATGTGTGATATTGCTGGTAAACTGACTAAAATAGAGCCACAATCTACCACAGTGCCCAATTTTTATTCCTTTATCGGTAACAGGTTGTGCTGCACTAGCTCAACGCTTAATTCAACGGCCGAGTCCCACTTTGTTAGTTGGGTGTTCGTACGCTTCTCAGTAGGCGATCGACAATGAAAAGATTTTCAAATACTAATCACTTGGGAGTTCGTCTGCTTCACTGTCACTACTAACCATTTCGCTGGACCCAGTAGCCAGGAGACACTCGCTTTAGCCTCCCGAAACAAAGCAGCGTAGCGGAATGGACTTCTTGGGTTAGAAACGAACGTGTCTGTGAGCCTAACTTGGTTCGGTTACTGACTGGCTGTCACTGCCTCCGTATATATATTTCTTGTCTCCAGGACTAATCGCTATGTCCATGCGGCACCACCCCTCTTTTGTTACAGGTGGTCAACCGGCCAAGCCTTTTTTCTTCGGAAGTCGTTCCGCACTAAGTATCTCCCCTTCAAGCAGTTACTCGTCTGAAGCCCGTGGTTGCACGCTCTGCATAAGGGCAGAGGGCAGGATGGTCAGCCGGAAGTTGCAGCCCATTTTCCGAGCATAAACCACTTATAGGTCTAGAACAGGTGTTTGAAATATCTAAATATTGGCTAAACACCCTCCTGTAGTGTCAGAAGGTGTTCATACTCAAGTCATTTGAAGCCTTACTCTTCCGGTCTCCAGTTTTGGCTTCTAGACCGCCTCACCACTTCTCCGTGAATCACTACTGTCTGTCGACTTTCTCTTACTACTAAGTATAATTGCGCCCCGTGCACCTACTGAGTCGTCGGCCCAAGTTTCTTTCCTCCCCTTTTCTCCTTCAGATTCTTATGGTCGGCACCAAACTCACACTCTTCTACACAGCTCCCTGCAGCAGCGCGCCCAGTAGTTAGAGGAAAGCCCACCAACAGCTGGTCGGTAAATAAGCCTTGGAATTTTTTCAATATGTATTTATCCGTCACTCGACGTTTGGCATTCTAAAGACTTGTTCATGCACACTAACAGCCACATATTCGTAGTCCATGTTTCAGTTATCTGTAGACAGGTAACCCATGGCATTTTCCTCCAGAGTGTAACGGAAAATTGATCTGAAAATCCCTCCCGATCGCCCTTATTTGATTGTATTGACATTTATTTTAATATTTTTACCCTCGTTATGGATGGTGTACCTTTGACCCTAGCCGGTGTAATGTTATTTGCTTGTTTAACTGTCTTATTTGACTTTGCACTCGGTATTCGCCTTTGTACGTTTCAGACTTATTATAAATGTTCCACTTTCCTGTTGTTGGCAAGCTGATGTTGTTTTACTGCGCCCGACATTTTGTTTTGGTTCAACTTACGGTTGTGCAGTGATTTGACCGTCTGTCTTTTGACTGTCTACTGGAACGTTTGTTTGTTGATTTGATTCTGGTAGACAGAGTTTTCATCCCTTTTGTCGGGAATATTCTTATTGACTGTCAGGTACTTAACAGTTGTATTTGTTTAACCAGTTTTTACCGTGTAGTACGTATTTACACCCGAGAACGTTTTGGGCTGTATAGTCATCCAACGGTGCTGTTGAGGTATTTTCGTAATTTTGACATAACTTATTACTGCTTTGACAGTACCACAGATTTTGTTACGAATTTACTGCTGAATTACTACAAACCGTGTTTTGATATTTTGATCCAACCTTTGACTGTGCGTCACTCGCGGAAGTTCGGAAGCTATACAGTAGAACGCAGGAACTAGTCAGATTCACGTCGGTTGACACCGTCTAGTTATCTCCCGCGTTCAGGCCAAGATTATTGGATTCTGGCCGCTACACAGAGTAACCCTTCGACTACAGACTAGTTGATAAAACACCCCTCTGAGCAATTTCATCTTCCAACTTGTTTTCTTATTTGTCTTCTGGCCTCAATACTTATAAGTGAAAAGGTACTAGACAGCTAGCACTGGTGCACACAGGTCTAATTAAGAGTGATTACACGTCAGGTAAAGGCTACGCAGCCAGCTTCTTAAAGGTTTCTATCTTCTTACAGTTTGCCCACTCACCTTTTTATAAATATTGTTTGCACGAACCCGTTTTTCTACTTGTTCTTCCCATGCATTTCTGTGATAGTCGAAACAAGTCTGCCCAGCCTACTAACCGGGTACGAAATTCCAGGCTAGCGGGGAAAATATCTTCCTCAACGACATATCAAACTGCTACACAAGCCAAGTAGGAGTAAAGTACAACTTTGGTGTCTCAAGGGAAGGATCGCCCCCTGTGTCAAAAATACTCACAGCAATTTAGTACACACTGTACAGCAACCAATTGGAACTCCATCGCATGATGACCATAGTAAGTGGAATTGAGCAATATCGGTAGTACGTGAAACGTCTGCCCACAACTTGTGCCGCGATGGCTGCAGGGTACCCTAACGGTACTGCGAGTTCATGAAGAGATAACTATACAAATGACACTGGTGTGTGCACCCGAACAGCAGAAAGATGCCTGCACTCCAAATAGAAGACGCCGAAGTGTCGTCACTCAGTTCCAAGAAACCATCACCCTTCATGAAGATAGTTGAGAAGGTATCGTGAAGTTATTCTTACTGTCCAGAAAGAATTTCGAGAAAAGTTTATCCTTGCTAAAAATTAACCGGCCAACCGAATTTCTTTTACTGTAAATACTCGGCAGATGAGTGTCTGTTTTGTTCCATGTTCATGTAAAGTACGTAAAGAACTCAATCGAAACCGTAGACATGAATCTGTGATTTGTGTCAGTTGGCCTCGCCGCCTGCCAGGAAAACGGTTTTATTGTATTTCGGAAGTGAAAATACTTCATGATTATTACGTCGAAACCAGAGAGAACCTAAGAATAAAGTAAAACATCCTACCTCGAAAAATCTCCCCGTCTATCCTTTTTTGTGCTGGCTATGTCAAGATACGGAAGGAGGTAAAGGAGGAAGACCACTGTAGCGTACTTTGTAACTACCCGTGGCAACTGCAACTATGATGGTCAGGGGACGACTCGAGTTTCAACCTGGAAAAGCGAAAAGCAATGTACGTTGAGGC